TGGACAACATTTTGATCTACTCCTGGTCCAGGGATCACCACCTTCATCAGGTCCGTCAAGTGCTGCAGCGTCTTCGGGAGCATAAGCTCTATGCAAAACTGGAGAAGTGTTTCTTTTTTCAGTCTTCAATAGAGTTTTTAGGGCATATCATCTCTCCTGAGGGCATCGCTATGGACCCTAAAATAGTTGAGGCCTTGTGTAGTTGGGAAGCCCCTCGTCGAGTAAAGGACATGCAGCGTATTCTGGGGTTCGCCAATTACTATAGGACCTTCATTCCAGGTTTTGCTAAGTTAATGGATCCTATCACTCAGCTCCTTCATAAGAAGGTCCCGTTCCGGTGGGGGCCTCTACAACAACAGGCTTTTGAAACTTTAAAGAAAGCGTTTGTGGCCGAGCCAATATTGAGGCATCCTGATCCGAATCGTCCATTTGTGGTCGAGACAGATGCCTCTAATGTGGCTATTGGGGCGGTATTGTTGCAAGCTCCAACGGATGGCGCACCTCTTTTCCCTTGCGCATAATATTCTAGGAAGCTCACAGCTTCTGAGCATAATTATACTATTTGGGAAAAGGAGTTGTTGGCCATTAAAGCTGCATTTGAGACCTGGCGACATCACTTAGAGGGAGCTCGGCATAAGGTGGAGGTTCGGACGGAACACCGAAACTTGGAACATTTGTCTACCGCCAGGAAGTTAAACCAATGCCAGATCCAGTGGTCATTGTTTTTCGCAAGGTTCAATTTTTCTGTTACTTATGTTCCAAGCGGACAGAATCGGAGAGCAGACGCGTTGTCTAGGAAACCCGAATATCTCGGCCCCGAGGATCCTCTTCCTCCACGAACAGTGTTGCCATCGGAATCCTTGGCTGTGCTTCAAGATCCAGTAGATTTGCGGGCTCGAATACGGGAGGTGCAGCGATTAGATGCATGGACGCAGCAGAAAAGGGGGGAAGTTGGACCTGATTCCCCATGGACTTTGGAGGAGGACTTGTTAAGACATCGGGGTGTATTGTATGTACCCACCAGGATGCTTAGAGCCCTCATCATGATGCAATGTCATGACAATCCCGCTGCTGGTCATTTTGGTTTCTACAAAACTCTGCACTTGGTCACCCGGACTTTTTGGTGGCCTCGAGTTCGACATGATGTGTTTGCCTATGTTGCTTCTTGTGTACAATGTCAACAAGCGAAAGCAGCGTCGGGTGCACCTCCTGGACTCCAACCACTGCCAACTCCGGGCAGACCATGAGGAGAAATCTCCATGGACTTTTTAACACACTTGCCCTCGTCGTTGGGTTATACGACGGTACTCGTGGTGGTTGATATGCTCACTAAAGTGACCCATTTCATCCCATGTAGAAGATTACCCTCAGCTCGTGTTACTGCCGGGCTTTTTATACAACACGTATTCCGTTTACATGGCTTACCGGACAGAGTTGTTTCAGATCGCGGTGTTCAGTTCACCGCTAAATTCTGGAAAAGTCTAATGAATGCTCTATGAGTACAGGTATGCTTAGAGTTGGCGCACTATCCGAAAACCGATGGTGGGACTGAGAAAGTAATTGGCATCCTCGGCCAATACCTCAGATGTTTTGTAAATCAATGACAAAATGACTGGGTGACTTATCTTCCATTGGCAGAGTTTGCCTTTAATAATTCTCAACACACCTCCACCCACATGATGCCTTTTTACGCCAATGTGGGTTATCATCCAAGGTTTTTCCCCCTGTCGATCGCAGATTCTCCAGTTCCAGAAGCACAAGACTTTTTGTCGGAGTTATATGCTGTACATCAGTTAATTTCCAGACAATTGGAATGAGCGAAAGCAGATTATAAACGTTTCGCAGATCGTTCGCATCGAGCAACACCTCCATTGGCTGTGGGTGACAAGGTGTGGTTGTCAACGAAACATCTTTGAGTCGATCATCCGATTAGGAAGTTGGATCATCGCTTTATTGGTCCCTTCCCTATCGAGGCGGTTATTAATCCTGCGGTTTATCGGCTCACCCTACCTTTTTCTGTGAGCGACTTTGTCTATTGGTTAAGGCACAAGAGGTAGAAGTTAGAGGAAGAAAACGCTGAATGTATTAAAAACAGAGATGGTTTATAACTACTATACTAAAAATATGAATGAGTTAAACATAAGAAATCTAGTTCAAATTTTTGGTGATACTTTTACTATATGGGAGTTATCATAGTATTATTAGTGCTAGTAATTTATGTGTTAGTATATTATTATCAAATAATGGGTTAACATCTATTATAGTATTAGCTATGGTTTTTATTTCTTGTAAATGGTTTACTCTGACAAAACACTGTATTCAAAAATGTTTATGAATAAAATTATATATAAAAAGAAATAAACACCTTATTCAATGGATAAATGAAAGACAGACAGACAGACAGACAGACAGAAAGAAAGAAAGAAAAAAAGAAAGAAAGAAAGAAAGAAAGTGTGAGTTCTAGTCTAGTTTTAGTTTGTCTCCCATCAGAATACAATTAACAAACCAAAATTATGTGGTCCACCACTGTTATTCTATGATTCTATATTGTTGTGTTCTTACACACAGAGTTTTTGTATGTCTCAAAATCTGGCTATCAGGAGCGCAAGGAAAAGCCATTTCATTTAATCTTATCAGATCAGATCAGATTAGATAAGAACTGTGATTAACTATGGCGCCAGAAGCCAATTATTTTCATAAAGGGATGCTTAAATGAACTGGAAAACGTTCAGTTCTCCAAGTCCCAAGAAAGTCTGGAATGGCATAGAATCTCCTGCCATGGGCAGCGGGCAGACTAGGATAGCGGCCCCCAACCTTTTGGGCACCAAGGAGTCCATGGAGAGAGGTTTTTCTGCAACCTGAAGGGAGCATGGTTTCACATGCTGCCTGGATCCCACCAATGGGGCTTCTTTGCTTGTTTGCGTGGCCCAGTTTCTGGCATACCATGGAAGTAGGGGTGGTTTCAGTGGGTTGGGTTGGGGACCTCTGGATTAGAAGATCTCCAAGATCTCTTCCAATCTATTATTCTGTCTGGTGTTTGATGTTCTAACTTTGTTAGACCAGGCTCTGAGTTGGCATGTTGTAGCTAGTGAAGGTTTACAACGTGGCAGCTTTTTTCAAACAAAATCAGATGAGAAAGACTATTAGATCACGTTGGCCACCTTGAATTATTTACAAAGGTAATAAAAGTGGGTTAAAAACTTCTGAAAAAAAAAAAAAATCCTGAGCAACGAGTCCCATTTATGAACATGCCAACGCTAACGAAATACACCCAATGACAGTGACCGAAGAAAAATGAACACCCTGGTTTGATGATGGGCCCAATTCTTATTCTCCCTTCCATGAAGCTGGATCATTTCTGGGAAGATCTGTCAGTGGGCATTTCTGGGAGGAGAGTGGGGGGATTCCCAGCTTTTTTTTTTTTAGCAAAGCAACAGGTGCAGGAGTGAAATCAGGGAAGGAGGGAGGGGGGCAAAGGTGGAGTGGTTTCATTATCAAGCGCTTGAGAAAATATCAGCCTTGTCCCAAGCACAGGGAGCTGGAGAGGGAGGAAAGAGGCTCCCTGCCCAGCCCCTCCAGCGTAAAAATTAGAAAATGAAAATTAGCCAAAGATTATCGGGGAGGGGTGGGCTTGCAGAAACAGCATGTGCTTAACAGTAGGTAAGGAGGCGGGAGGACTTACTTGCTCTCCCCCATTCTCTGTGACCTCTGTGACTGCCCCCACCCCCAATCCCGGTGATTGCTCCTTGCAAGCTGCTTCAAGCTGAAAGATTTCCTTGCTTTGCTTCATTAGAGTGTAGTGAGAGGGGTGGGGATTGCAAGGTTGGTTTTTTTTCCCCTTTTAATTTGGTCATACCTGACTGACGTCGCTGAGGTATCACCAGATGATTTGGCCCGTACGCAGAATACAGAAGAAGAGAATTGGGAAGGGGCTTTGGAGGTCTTCTAGCCCAACCCCACCGCACCTCCCCACCTCCTCTCGAGAGGAAACCTTACTATTCAGGAGAAATGGCTAAGGATTATGGAGATTGTAATTTGCCTCTTTTTTATCATACTGGAAAGTTCTGCCTTGTGAGATTTCCCACAGAGAAGAGAAGAGAAGAGAAGAGAAGAGAAGAGAAGAGAGAATTCTTTATTGGACAAGTGTGACTGGACACACAAGGAATTTGTCTTGGTGCAAATGTTTTCAGTGTACATACAAGCAAGATACATTCCTCAAGAGTCAAGAATCATATGGTCCAACACTTAATAATAGTCATAGGGTACAATAAACAATCAAATCATACTAGGAAACAATCAATATAAATCATTATGATAGAAGCACCAAAATTATAGTCATACAGTCACAAGTGGGAGGGGAGGGGTGATAAGGAGTGATGAGAAGATTAACAGTAATAGTAGTGCAGACTTTGTAAATAGTTGGACAGTGTTGAGGGCATTATTTGTTTAGCAGAGTGATGGTGTTCGGGGAAAAACTGTCCCTGTGTCGAATTGTTCTGATGTGCATTGCCCTATAGCGTCGTTTTGAGGGTAGGAGTTGAAACAAATAGGCTGAATTGGGAAAGCAATAAGCTGCTCGTTCGTCCCTGTGGTGTAAAGCCCCGCAAATATTTCAGATGTGGTCTCAATGACCCCGATCATGGGTATTAATTACCCCACTGGCATGCTGCAATTCTTCCTTAAATTGACCCATAACCTTCCTCCAACCCACCTCCGCGACTAGAGAGTGGGTGGAAAATCGAGAGGGTGTCGGATATCCCACCTCCCTCACAGTCAAGCCACTCTGGGGGTTTCCGGGAAACAGCACCGATTCCTCTTCCCAACTTAACTCCTCCGTCTGCCCCTTCCAATCTCCAGGCAGGCCCCGCCCTTTTTAACCCCACCCCCATCTTCGTGGTGTTATTTAAGCGCGAGCGATGATGCATGTGCGAGGATCTTTTTCCCTTATGGTGGGAAGAAGTTGTTCTATCGCCAAACTTGGCAAACTTGCCGGAATTAACTTTCCTTTCTCGGATTCCACAACCAGCTGCTGAAAATGGCCCTGCAGTCGCCTTATTGCAAACCGGTAAGTTGAGTTGGCTTAAGGAGGGACTGAGAGAGATTCTCACCTGCCCACCTGCCTCACTTTATGACGCTAGGCTTCCTATAATTCATTATCTTGTGGCGGGCTGTTCCCCTGGTGCGCTTCCAAGATAGACATAGCTGTGACTGAGCCAAGGTCAGGTTATGTAGCTTTTTAGGACAAGGTTTACCTGTTATTTAACAGAATAGCACAGTTGGAAGGGATCTTGGAAGTCTTTGATCCAACCTGCTGCACAAGGAGTTTATTTTTTTATGTAATATTTAATTTTTTTAAATCGACTTTATTAAGTTTCAAAGAGGGATGAAATGCTTGAAATACAAAATAACAAAAAAAAAAGGAAAAATTGAGGGCATCGAAAAGGGGGAAAAGTTAAAAAGTGACAAAATAGAGAGATTTATTTGGAACTTTCTGCAGTACAGATATAAATATGTAATAAAAATAATTTCTTACTCCTAATCAAAATAAAAGCACAGAAACATCAGATAAAAAAAAGATTGGACATAAAAATAAAGTTAGAATTATATATTGTAATAATATATACTGTATTTTTTTGGAGTATAAGACACTCCAAAGTATAAGACGCACCTAGCTTTTGGGGAGGAAAACAAGAAAAAAAATTCTGCTTCTGCCTCCCAGCAATTTGCTTCGTTGCAGCAAACAGCAGACAGTGTTTCAGCTTCACCACAACCTGATTAGAACAGAATAGAATAACAGAGTTGGAAGGGACCTTGGAGGTCATCTAGTCCAACCCCCCTGCCTAGGCAGGAAACCCTACATCACTTCAGACAATTGGTTATTCAACATCTTTTTAAAAACTTCCGGTGTTGGTGCACCCACAACTTCTGGAGGCAAGTTGTTCCCTGATTAATTGTTTTAACTGCCAGGAAATTTCTCCTTAGTTCCAAGTTGCTTCTCTTCTTGATTAGTTTTCACCCATTGCTTCTTGTCCTGCCCTCAGGTGCTTTGGAAAATAACTTGACTCCCTCTTCTTTGGGGTAGTCCCTGAGATATTGGAACACTGCTATCATGTCACTCCTAGTCCTTTCTTTTCATCAAACTGGACATACCCAGTTCCAGCAACCATTCTTCATATGTTTTATCCTCCAGTCCCCATATCATCTTTGTTGCTCTTCTCTGCAATCTTTCTAGAGTCTCCACATCTTTTTTACATTGTGGCGACCAAAACTGGGTGCAGGATTCCAAGTGTGGCCTTACCAAGGCATTATAAAGTGTATTAGCACTTCATGTGATTGTGATTCTATCCCTCTGTTTATGCAGCCTAGAACTGTGTTGGCTTTTTTGGCAGCTGCTTCACACAGCTGACTCATATTTAAATGGTTGCCCACTCCGAGATCCCTCTCACAGTCACTACTATTGAGTGTGGTGCCACCTATACTGCACCTGTGCATTTAGTTTTTCTTGCCTAAATATAGAACCTTACTGTTTTTTAGCACAAGCAGCTGATTGTCAGCTGATTGAATCAGCCTCTCAACCATCAGCTGTTTCAGACTGCAGGAATTGCCATAGCCTATTGCTGCCTCTGCGCACCCTATTTTTGGCTCCTGTGTCCCATTTTCAGCCTCTGCGCACCCCGTTTTTGGCCTCTGCATGCCCCATTTTCAGCCCGTTCTGGGTGGCAGGGATCAGAACAGGTGGAAAACAGGGTGTGGGGAGGTGTTTGATGATCTAACTGGCGTGCACTTGGATGATGAATGGATGCTCTGGGTTTGGGCGTTCAGGTTTGGTTCCATAGCAAACAGTCTCTTGAGTGCCTCAAATGCTTTTTGGCACTTGTCTGCTAGAAGTTCAATGGTTGATTTGTTCATGGTTTGACCCCCTCCTCCTCCCATTTTTAACAGTTTGATGATGGGGAGGGCAATCTCAGTGAATGAAGGGATGAAGTGTTGGTAAAAGTTCTCAAACCCTAAAAAGTTTTGAAGCTGTTTGCAGGTGCAAGGAACTTGCCAGTCTAAAACCACTTTGACTTTTCCAGGATCCATTTTCATGCCTTCCCTGGAGATTTGATACCCCAGGTAGTCCAGGCAGGATTGGTGGAATTCACATTTGGAAAGCTTAGCATATAGTTTGGCCGCCAAGAGTTTTTTTAACACCTGGCATACTAATTTAATGTGCTTTTCTAGTGTCTGGAAAAAAAATAAGAATGTTGTTCAATTACACAAGGACCTCTTTGCTCATGTAGTATCTCATTGATTAGTTGCATAAATACCGCAGGGTCTCCTTAGAGACCAAATGGCATTGCTTTAAATTGGAAGTTTCCTAAGGGACATGTCCTTGGTTCCCACAGGAAAACTTTATTGTTTTGGCTACAAACCTCATCTATTTTCTCCCTCCCCCTGTTGTGTGGCAACCCTGAAGATGGCCCCAGCAAGGTTTGATTCAGGATTGACACCTGCCTCTTCTTAAAAACCTTCGGTGATGGAACATCCACAATTTCTGAAGACAAGCCCTTCCACTGAGTAATTGTTCTCACTGTCAGGAAATTTCTCCTTACGTCTAGGTTGCAGAACACCGGTATCTTGTCACCCTAGTCCTCAACTAGACAATTTCTGGAACTATTCTTCATATGTCTCAGCCTCCAGTCCCCTAATTAGTTTTGTTGTTCTTCTCTGCATTCTTTCTAGAGCCTCAACATCTTTTTTTATATCATTATAAATATCACTATATCACACCCAAACTGGTGCAATATTCCAAGTGTGGACTTACCAAACCAGTATAAAACAGTAGTAACACTTCATGTGAGCTTGATACAACCCCTCTGTTGTTGCAGTCTGGGACTGCATTGATATTTTGGAAGCTGCAGCACACAGCTGGCTCATATTTAAGTGGTTGTAGAGATCTGGTAGTAGAAATTTTGAGTAGTTCAGAGAACCGGTAGCGGAAATTTTGAGTAGTTCGGAATAACATCTCTGACTGGCCCCACCCCCATCTATTCTCTGCCTCCCGAGTCCCAGCTGATCTGCTAGGTCTTCTTGTGTTGCCCTGCACAGGAGAACGGAGCTGGAAAGCAGGTTAGTGGGGTGAGGAGGGAATGGAGATTTTGCAGTAACCTTCTTCCAGGAGTGGGGAGGGAATGGAGATTTTGCAGTATCCTTTCCCTGCCATGCCCACCAAGCCATGCCCACCAAGCCACACCCACAGAACCGGTAGTAAAAAATTGAAATCCACCACTGCCCACGGTCTCTCTCACAGTTACTACTGTTGAGCCAGGTACCTCCATTCCACTCCACTCCTGTTCCATTCCATTCCCTTCCCTTCCATCTTTTCTTTTCTTCTTTTCTTTTCTTCAAGGTCTTTCTGGATCTTGAATCTATCTTGAGGCTATTCCCCCAAATTTGAAATTTCCTTTTTATGCCCTCATCTAAATTGTTGATGAAGATGTTGAAGAGTATTAGGCCTAAGAAAGAATCCTGGGAGTTTGCTTGTTTCATCTGTTTATTTGTTGAGTTTGCTTGCTTTGCTTTGTTTTATCTGTTTGTTTATGCAGTTTGCCTCAGATTTATGCATTTATATATAAAATTAATTGGCCGCCTATCTTACCACAGGATAACTCTGGGTGGCTTAAAATCATAAAAGACATCCCAAAGACACACACCCAAAGTTATATAACTAAAAACATAAATAAAGTAAATAAATTAAGATACTCCATGAAGCTAAAATGTGCCTGGGTAAAGAATGAGTTTCAATCATTATTCTCTATGTATATTGCTGTGTGTCTCAATGTTGGGCACTTTAAGAGGTATGGACTTCAACTCCCAGAATTCTTTAGGCAGTTCTCTGTCTGGGGAATTCTGGGAGATGAAGTCTGCACATCTTAAAATGCCCAAGGTTGACAAATACCGGTTTAACAGTTGTCAAGAGCTTTTGGTTGGACAAAATATTACTGGTGGGTAGACCTGAGGAATACTGGGAATAGTATTTTAAAGCCTTTCAAGGCAGGACGGAGGCAGATATTATTATATTCCCTAGACATTTATTCATGAACCAGTTGAATTAATGTCTTTGAGCTGCAACAGATTCTCCATTTTAATGGCTTTTTTTTTTTCTTTTAACTTCTGGTCAGACTATTCCTTTTAGTGGTCCAATTCATGGAGGCCTGAAAGATGGGATGACCATATTAGTCAACGGATGTGTTTTGAAGGGCTGCAGAAGGTGAGCAATGGTGGGATTCAAATAATTTAACAACCGATTCTCTGCCCTAATGGCCAGCTGGGTGGGCATGGCTGGGTGGGCATGTGACTGGGTAGGCATGGCCAACTGGATGTCACTCACATCGAGGGGTGCCTCACCTCACCCCCTGGCCTGGCCTCCTGAGCTCTTCTGGTCTTTGTCTACTACTACAGTGTCTGGTTGATTCTCTAATGCCTGCCTGTCCTTCTGGATCCAGAACTCCCATAGATTCTTAGCCCTATTATTCTCTACTCTCTTCTGTGGAGACTCCTTGATGGATGGGAATTCTGGGAGTTCAAGTCCATACATCTTTCAGCTGAGAGACACTGATCTATCTACCCCTTGGGTTCTATCTAGTGTGGTAAATCCTGCTTCTATGGATCTGGTGCTTAGTGCCTGTTTTTGTGCTGTTATGATCAGTGATCAGTGCTGCCTTTCACACACACACACACACACACACACACACACACACACACCAGAGCAGGGGTCTACAACCTTAAACACTCAAAGAGCCATTTGGACCCGTTTCCACAGAAAAGAAAATACCAGGAGTCACAAAACCCTTTTGACTTCTAAAGTGAATGTAACACTGCATATATCTTTTTTTTTTTTACCTTTATGCTTATAGTCTATTTAATCAGTACTATTTCTTCTGGGCCTTAGGTGGAAAAAGAGTTTTCCTATCACTTGCTGGAGATGTCATAAGTTAACCTGGGAATTTCTGTGATCAAATTCTAATTTACTGGAATTGCATCTTTGGCTTAATTGTAATGATACATTCAATTAAATTCGAAACTTTTTATATAATTGTTTCTTCCACTTCTGGAATAGTTATAAAAATGATGATTTCTCACTCATTTCTTTACTAGTAGTAGAAACAAAATAAGCAGCCGTAAATGTCACTTAATTGGAATCCTGTGTTTGGATTCTAATGGATATTTATTGTTGTGAATGCTTTTGCAAAACAGTGGCTGGGAAGGCTTGCCATAGATAAGTTTACAAAGCACTTATTTTAAGTAACATTTCTTGATTGTGTATTCTTACTTGCCCTCTTGTACTATACCACTGCATTTTGGATTCAAATGCAAAAAAAAAAAATATTTTGGAGAGCATAGAGAATTACTTAGCAGACTAAAGGTATTGAGGTGGAGATGGGAATGACTGTCCTTGTATTTAGTTATGGTGTGTAATGCCCTGTAGCATCATCTTGAGGGAAGAGGTGGAAACTGCACACATTTGCTATCATCTCTACAGTTTTGAGTGTGTTCAGTTCAGGATTGTTCCAAAAACCCAGATTAAATTTAGCCTTTCAAGCCTGTGCTGGTAGTGTTTAACAACCTGGGGAACTTTCACATACTGGCTGGGGGATTCTGGGAGTTGAAGTTCATACATCTTCAAGTGCCCAAAGTTAAGAAACACTAGTATTGTGGAACAAATGAATGAAAATATTATTTGTAAGAGGTTTGCCAGGGCCACCTTTCCTCTTCTTTCTTCAATTTAATTTAGTTTAGTTTACTTTATTGTCATTGCACCTCATACAACAAAATCAAACACATCTTCAGTGCACATCATGACCATGAAAATAAACACAAACACACATCCTTCACCCTTCACACATTGAACCGGAAACCCCCGACACTACACCAACACTGCAGTATACAGCAGAATTCAGTAGAGTTCCTGCCCTGGGGTAGAAGTTGTTTTTCAACCTATTTGTGCTTGTTTTTATTATTCTGTACCATCTGCCAGATGGTAATAGTTCAAAAAAAGGGTGCTAATTTACTTTAATACCACATGTTCTTCCTCCAGATGATTTCTCTCTCTTGGTCTCTCTGCAGATTCCGGGTTGACTTTCAGTGTGGCAGTTGCCAAATGTCCAAACCAGATATCGCTTTCCATTTCAACGTCCGTTTTGATCAGAACTGTATTGTATGCAATTCACGCGAAAAGAGCAGCTGGCAGCAAGAAGAAAGGAAATATGATATGGTTTTCTGCACAGGGCTTCCTTTTGAGATCCAGTTTGTTGTGAACAGCTCCTCCTATGAGGTATGAAGATGATAAGTCCCCTTTGTGGATTATAATCACCACCTTTTTTAAAAATACACTTGGTTTGGTTATTGAGTTTTACTTTGCAGCAATGGAAAAACATTTTCAAAATGTGTAAAATACAAAATGTCTCAAAATATCCCTTGCTAAGCACAAAACTGCTATCTCAAATGTAAAATGGACCCATCATGCGCGCATAAACTGATGGAGTTTATCAGTTTAGAAACCATCTCCTTCACAGAGAAGCGCATCAAGTCTCTTACCCACTTTGGGTACTCTATACAGTCTGCCAATGGAGCCTTCCCATTATGCTCATATGTTGTGACTGTCATAATGTAGGTCATCACATGATTGGACTTGTTTTTATTGGTTTTTTTGCAATGTTCATTAAGTGAACCCATTCCTTACTATGGGGCATTTTTGATGAAAATTGGGAATAAATGCGGATTTTCTAAAAAAAATCGTAAATCGCAGTCACATGATAAAAGGGCATTGCAAATGGCCATAAATGCAGACTGGTTGCCAAGTACCCAAAACACAGTTGGGAGAGAAGGTGGCTCTTGTAACTTCACAACAAGGTTGCAAGTACCGTTTGGATGGTCTGTTACTAAGCGATCTGTTGTAAGTCAAGGACCAACAGTAATCTCAACTTGGTTTAAGTGTTTGGGGAATCTAGTCCTTGTCATTTCTAAAACATAGTTTGTGACTTCCCAATTGGTCTTATGCATAACCTACTAACTGGGATTAGCTTGTTAGGTGAGTTCAGTCGTTGTTTTGGTTCCTTCTCTGTTGTCCCAAAACTATTTTTCTAAAGAAAACTAGACTTCCTGGGTTTTTTTTACTTTGAAAACATTTTGCTTCTCATCCAAGAAGCTTCTTTAGTTCTTCAGATCAGAAGTGAAGAAGCTGCTTGGATGAAAAGCAAAACATTTTCAATGAAAAAACAAAAGTCCAGTTACCTTTTTGGAAAAAACACCTTTGGGACAACCGTGATCGGGAGCCCTAGTGGCGCAGTGATTAGAATGCAGTATTACAAGCTAACTCTACCCATAGTCTGGAGTTTGATCCTGACTGGCTCAAGGTTGATTCAGCCTTTCATTGTTCTTAGGTCAGTTAAGTGAGGATCCAGATTGTTGGGGGCAATATGCTGACATCGCAAATTGCCCAGAAGTGCTGTAAAGCACCATGGGCAGTATATAAGTTGGAGTGCCATTGCTGGATGATCGAGAATATCCACAGACATTTCCTTCTCTGTTGTTCTTGTGGTGACTCGATATGACAAGTTGCTCCTTTCTGTGTGTGGCAGGTTCTAGTAGATGGAAAGCTGTATTTGGAATTTAGGCACAGGATCCCTCTTTGCCGAGTAGATACCATCAGAATTTCAGGAGAACTAGATGTGGAGTCAATCAGCTTCCGAGGTTCAACTGTAGGTATTTCATTGATTTCATTCTATTTATAAAAAACCTGCCTTCTTTTGATAAACAAAAGGGTAGCCTTATTTTTCTTGGGATTAAATGGGTGGCGTATTTAGACAGGATAAATATATGCCTTCCCTCTTTCCTTCTGATCTTTGAAAAATGCAAATATTTTCTGCAGTTTCCTGAGTGATTTTGTGGGGAGGGGGGTTAAAAAAAGGTCCAGATGGTGACCTAATGTCAACAGTCCTTCATGTGTGTCATGATACACTTCGACAGAGACACAACTTTGATTTCATGACAATAGAAGCCATCTTGATTTTTTTT